TATTATTATTATTATTATTATTATTATTATTATTATTATTATTATTATTATTATTATTATTATTATTATTATTATTATTATTATTATTATTATTATTATTATTATTATTATTATTATTATTATTATTATTATTATTATTATTATTATTATTATTATTATTATTATTATTATTATTATTATTATTATTATTATTATTATTATTATTATTATTATTATTATTATTATTATTATTATTATTATTATTATTATTATTATTATTATTATTATTATTATTATTATTATTATTATTATTATTATTATTATTATTATTATTATTATTATTATTATTATTATTATTATTATTATTATTATTATTATTATTATTATTATTATTATTATTATTATTATTATTATTATTATTATTATTATTATTATTATTATTATTATTATTATTATTATTATCATTATTATCATTATTATCATTATTATCATTATTATCATTATTATCATTATTATCATTATTATCATTATTATCATTATTATCATTATTATCATTATTATCATTATTATCATTATTATCATTATTATCATTATTATCATTATTATCATTATTATCATTATTATCATTATTATCATTATTATCATTATTATCATTATTATCATTATTATCATTATTATCATTATTATTATTATTATTATTATTATTATTATTATTATTATTATTATTATTATTATTATTATTATTATTATTATTATTATTATTCTTATTGTTATTATTATTATTATTATTATTATTATTACTATTATTACTATTATTATTACTATTATGATATTTATTATTATCATGATTATTATTATTCTTACTACTATTATGGTTATTATGGTTGTTGTTGTTATTGTTATTAGTTTTGTTTTTATTATTATCATATTATACGGAGTAATTACAATTAAAATTATAGAAATAAATATTATAATTATAATTAAAATTATAATTATAGAAATAAATATAACTCTAAATATAATTACAATTATGATTATAGCTATATTTATAACTAGTGTAATACGTATAATAATAATTATACCTATTATAATTATGTTTATAATTATAATTATAATTTTTATAATTATGATTATAATTATTATTATATTTAAATTATATATGTGTAATTACATTTATAATTATAGTAATTATAATTAAAATTATAATTTTAGAAATATTCAAATCAGATCAGATCAGAAAGATTCCGATCAGATCAGAAGGATTCAGATCAGATCAGAAACATTCAGATCAGATTAGGAACATTCAGATCAGATCAGGAACATTCAGATTAGATCAGATCAGATAAAAAAAATTCAGATCAGATCAGAACTTAAAAAATCCAGATCAGAAACATTCAGATCAGGTCAAGAGAACATCTTGTTACTCCACTTAGAAACAACTTGATGTACGAGTATGTATATTATACCGGCTGTACGGTGAGCACCGTACAACCGACCCAGTAACAGGCCCAATAGGAAAATAGCAAAATAATTCGGTGGCAATTTTGTAATTAATGTGAAAATCGTGGTTTCTGCTAAATGAGTATTATTATATTGTTAATGAGCAATAGTCCAATTTTAATAAGGATTAAGCGTCTAATCATGAGTACCATGTTATAACAAGAAAGCTGATATCACAACTAAAAAACGGTGTCATTTTCGTAATTTGAGTGAAAATCGCGGTCTTCGTTAATTGAGCATTAATACACTGTTAATGAGCACCAGACGTATTCGACTGAGTATTAAGAGTTGAATAATGAGTATTGTGATATCAATTTCATATACTGTAATTCACTTTTTTTTTCTTATTTTATCTTTTACAAAACCTCATTAAATTATATCTACAAGCAACTTCTATAAACTTCAATATGCGAATTTAATGTAATATGGTATTTTTGAAATATGCATTGATATGTCATTTTAAAAATGAGCATAATATCAATATCAAATGAGCATACGCAACTTTCAAAATGCACATAAATATGAAAATTGTAAGGTTTGTTAGTTGGACGTCATGACATTTCATTGAGCATCAAACTTTCTATATTGAGAAGAAAATAACGGTTTCTGTTAAACGAGCATTAATGAACTTTTAATTAGCACTGGACCTATTCTGTTGAATATTAGGAGTCTAAATAATATTGAGCATCGTAATCTCCGTTTCATATCTTCTAATTCACTTTCTTTTATAGAAACTTATTAAATTATATCTACAATCAATTCCTATGAAGTTCAATATATGAATCTAATGTAATATGATACTTTTGAAATATGCATTGATATGACATTTTAAAAATAAGCATAACATTATTACCGATTGAGTATATGTAGCTAACAAATAAGCATTATTATGAAAATAATAAGCTTTGTTAGTTGAGCATGAAGACATTTTTCATTGATCATTAAACCTTATCTACTGAGTATTAGAAGTGTGCAATTGCGTACTATTTGAGCATTCGTAAACTATAAAATGAGCATTAGTTAGAAAATCACAAGTTTTGTAGTTGGCCAAGCATCAAGACATTTTCGTTGGGCATCAAATCTCATCTATCGAGTATTAGAAACATGCAATTGAGTATCATGGTTTATGCTCTCGTATCTGTAATTAACTCCTACTTGAATATAATGTAATATGCTACTTTTGAAATATGTATTGATATAACATTCAAATATGAGCATAACATCAGTACCAAATGAGCATACATAACTCACCAATTGAGCAATGATATGCAAATCATAATCTTTGTTAGTTGAGCATCAAAACATTTTTATTGAATGTCAAACCTTCTTTATTGAGTATCTGAAGCATGCAATTGGGTATCATGATCTCTGCTCCCATTTATATAATCTAACTGTGATCTTTTATGCGAATCTAATATGAAACTTTTGAAATATGTATTAATATGATATTTTAAAATGAGCATAAAATCAGTATCAAATGAACATATGTAACTTACAAAATGAGAGTTGAAATATAATTTGATTTACAATGAGTATTTTGTTATTGAATTACAAATATAATCGGGTTCTTTTTATAATACTTACCCATACATATTTATTTTACACTATACTCACTTTTGTATAACACAAAACTCATGTTAGTAATTATGAGTAGCTTATACTACGTAATATTTAATAAACAAATAAATATACATTCTAAATTAAAAATAGAAAAATAAAGCATTAATATCTAAAATATTTTATAATACATAAATTAAAAAAAATAAGTCAGAAGGTTGATTGAAAAAAAACTCCAACATTAAATAATATTTTATATTATTTGAATAACATTTTCATCAATAAAAAAGCAAAACGATTGTTAAGATGAAAAAAGAAAAAGAAACGAGAAGAACAACTAACAAGTAAGGATGTTTTCTTTGGACTGAAATTTGTTGGTTTGGTCTGGTCTGTTTAAGTCTGGTCTGGTCTGAACTGGTCTGGTCTGTTTAAGTCTGGTCTGGTCTGAACTGGTCTGGTCTGGTCTAGTAAACGTCTGGTCTCTGTGTATTTTATAACTATCCAAGTCTGGTCTGGTCTGTGTAAGTCTGGTCTGGTCTGGTCTGGTCTGGTCTGTTTAAGTCTGGTATGGTCTGGTCTAGTCTGAGACTGAAAACAGTCCAAAAGAAAACATCCTAAGAGCAGCTACTACGATTAAGCTACTACGATTAAAGCAACGTACAAAAGAAATAAAACAAAAGGAGGAATCGAAGTCAGTGATTGAAACGGCGGAAAAAAGAAGAAAGGAACCGATGGAAACGGAAGGAAAAATAGAAGGATAGCAGGGAGCAGCTACTACATTTCAGGCCCGAAGTTGTATATAATTTCAAAAATACTTGATTGTACGGTGAGCACCGTACAACCGTTACGGTATAATTTAGCCTTGATGTACCATATTGGCTATTTTCAGGTTCTAAATATCGAACCGGATCAGCTGATTGATTCTGGTTCTTATTCACATATATCCTAGGAGGTCCACTTGTTATACCGTATGACCGGTATACGGTGAGCACCGTATACCGGCATACGGTTTTTGGCAAGCAGCGTATTTGGCAAGCACCAGATCTTAATTTTTTATTTCTCTTTTTTTAAAAAATGGTAATAACTTTTTTATTTTTGATCCGATTTTTATAAAATTTATACTAACATTTTTAATTTTTCATGATCTTTCAAATGAGACCAATATTGCCTATGTAATTTTAACCTATGTAAAATATGTAATTTTACGTGTAGAAATATGTAACTCACGTCCAGTCAGGCCAAATGCAACTCATGTGTATAAATATGTAAATCTACGTGTAAAAATATGTAACTTTACTTAAAAAAAATATGTAACTCGTGTTCAGACAGGTCAAATGCAACTTATGTGTATAAATATGTAACTCGCGTGTATAAATATGTAACTTTACGTGTAAAAATATGTAACTCTACGTGTAAATATATGTAACTCGCGTTCAGACAGGTCAAATGCAACTTGTGTGTATAAATATGTAACTCGCGTGTATAAATATGTAACTTTACGTGTAAAAATATGTAACTCTACATGTAAATATATGTAACTCGCGTTCAGGCAAGTCAAATGCAACTCGTGTGTATATATATGTAACTCGCGTGTAGAAATATGTAACTTTACGTGTAAAAATATGTAACTTCACATATAAAAATATGTAACTCACATGTATAAATACCTAATACAATAAATTTTTTATATACACAATTTTAAAATAATTTGTGATTTACACAATTATTTTTCTGTATTAAATTTAGTTTGGTTTTCTTTATAATCCAATACACATTAATATAATAGTTCGATAATTTCTTAAAATTATATAAGCAATATCATGAAAAATAAAAAATGTTGATATAAATTTTATAAAAATTGGATCAAAAATAAAAAAGTTATTACCATTTTTTAAAAAAAAATATTTGCGCGATATAATTTGCGCAAGAGGTCCGTGAAGAAAGAGCACAGCAAATGAAGTTGGTCGGAAGAGAGGGAGAAAGAAGGGGTTGTGCCCACTGTTTTCTCTGTTTATGGCCGTAAGGCCCTTCCACTTCATCGCTTCCGGCCATCACAACCGCATCCTTCTCTTCAATCAGACGTTGTCGTCCTTCATTTGCCCCAACCGCCCATTGTTAGGGTTCCCGCTTTCTGTTACCCAGCAACCCCGCAAACAAACCCCGCTACAGCGGCTGTACTCGTCGCAACGCCTCCGGCCGCGGGTGTACTTTCCAGAGACCCTGGCTCAGAAGTTCGGAAAAGCTATTCGCCGACCTGGCGCCCCATCGAAGGCTCGGGTTTACGCGGATGTCAATGTTACTCGACCTAAAGAGTATTGGGATTACGAGTCGTTGGCCATTCAATGGGGGTAATTGTTTGTATTGTTTGTGAATTTAAACTTTTAATTCCGCTTCTTTTAATTACTCGTATTGAGTTTGTTCGGGTGGTTTTTTGCGAGTTAACTGCAGGGAGCAGGATGATTACGAGGTAGTGAGGAAAGTTGGAAGGGGAAAGTACAGCGAGGTTTTTGAGGGAGTTCACTCTACGAATAATGAAAAGTGCATAATCAAAATACTTAAGCCTGTCAAGAAGAAAAAGGTTGGATTTTTTCTATCATAATCTGCTTCATTTGTTTTGCGTGCTGATCCAGGGGCAACACACATGCTTGGATTTTTTCATTTGAGTTTCTTGAGTTTCTTGTGTAAGAGAGCTATTTGAGAATCATGAAATGTAATTTCTATGGAGTACTTCTTGTGTCACTGTTTCCTAAACGGCTAAACCATACTCCGTATTTAGCTTTTTGTTTGGTTTAGATCATTAATAATAGGGTAACAATGATTTAATGAAATTTTATTAGTTGCACACAGCGTACCTGTGATCTGCCCCCAGTTGAAACTGCCCCCAGATGAAACTAGGAGTGCACATTTATGTGTTTTCCATCTGGTTTGAACTTTGAAGTTCTCCAGAGTTAAAAAAACACTATGAATGTATACAATCGAAATGAGTCACATATATGTTTTATCCTCCCCTTTGGCCCTTTCAATATTAATGCATACAGCCCATGCAATAGATGAGGTCAAAATCCGCACCCTAATTGCTAACTGAACACACTATGTACAAAATTGGATAGACTTCTAGCCACATGTAGTGTTATGACATTCTCAATGAAAAACCTGCCAACATCATGTAATAATTGCATGGACTTCTAGCCACATTTAATGCTATGACATTCTCGATGAAAAACCTGCCAACATCTAGACATACTAGACTAAGCTGCTCTCTGTTTGAAACCTTACTCGTTTTAAAGGAGAATATTCTCTTCATGGTCATTTGATCATTTTCTGTAGCTCTTCATAGCTCTTTAACAATCTGAGAAGCAATCCATTGGCTTGTGAACATGTGTTCCACTACCACAACTACCATTATACGAATTCCCAATTTCATTTGGAGCACCAAAATAAGAACTTGAACCAGCCATTTCCTAAGAGCTTCTGATTTGAATCTTTTTTGCTCCTGTGAATTCCTTACGAATGCCGACATCTCATTTCTCGTAATGTTTACACATCCTCCAAGATGGCATTTTAAGCTCTTAAGCTCACTCCTGCAATAGTATAATTGCAAAGCTTGCATTTGAAGTCGATTTACCTTTCCCTCTGACAGATCAACTTCAGTCCCATACTTGATACTTGCAAGCCCAACACCATAACTTTCACCTATATGACCATGGGATTTATGACCCTAAATCCATTTGAAGTCGATTTACTTTTGTTGTTATTATTTAAATAAAAGAAAGGAAGAAAGAGTTGGAGTTGTTTGAAAGAAAATAGCAGCAGAATATTTGGCAAATGGGACAGCATGGCGTAAGCCTCGTTTATGTCAGACAGGGTTTAAACTTTAAGCTGATTTTCTCCACACCTTTGCTCTCAGAGGTGCATGCCCCACTCACCTTTGTCAACCATAGATGACGGGTTTGAGATTTTATTTCATTACCCATTCTCAAGGTTGGACAATAAGTGCATCTGGTGTAGAACTATGTCATTCATCTGCATGACTTTAGAGTGTTAACTAACTGTAGACAATCTCTTTGCACTATAATTGAGTTATTGAGTTTAAGGTGGTGGCAGTAATAGTGGTCACTTTGATTCAAGATCTTTAATTTTTTTTGAAGGAAAGATCTTTATTGTTATTTTAAAGAAAATTGAATGGGCTTCTCATTCTAATCTTTAATGAAGTACATTGATCTTCTCAATTGGTTCCATTTCCATCATTTCCAATGGAGCCAATTAGCCAAAGACTCACTATTTTTTGGCTTGGGAATATGATGGAATAAAGCAAAATGACTCACTAACCTATCTGCGCTTCTTTGTTATGAAGCAACAGTCAGTCCATGTAATTTTTGATGCTATTTTCATCATAGGTCATCCAGAAACAGTCTCTCTGTGCTTTAGTACGAGGGGTAAGGCTGCGCACATCTGACACCCCCATACCCCATCGTTGGTGGGAGCCTTTTCGGCACTGGGGTAATGTTGTTGTTGTATTGATATTCTCAATTGGTGGTATACTAATCTGCAAATTTGCTGGTTGAATGCAGATTAAAAGGGAGGTTAAGATACTACAAAATCTATGTGGCGGACCAAATATTGTGAAGTTGCTTGATGTTGTCAGAGATCAGCAGTCAAAGACTCCAAGTCTAGTCTTTGAATATGTGAAAAACACAGATTTTAAAGTGCTTTACCCGACTCTTTCTGACTTCGACATTCGATATTACATTTATGAACTTCTCAAGGCAAGGCTGCTCTTCATATTTTTTTCTTCGATTGTTTTTTTAATAATAACTGCTCTGAAATCTGTCTAGAATAAAAGCTATCTGTCAGTTTGTACTTGACCGGACTGGTGTTGTGTTGTTGACAGAAGAACAAAATAGGAAATAGGCACTAAATAATGGTTGAGTATAAATGGTGGTGTGTTGTCCGTGTTCTCATTCAAGCGGGCTGGAAATAAGCACTTTTCTCCATCAGATCGGTCGTAAATGTAGTACTTTTCATGAAACTCTGCTCCCTTCATACTCCCTATATCCCATTTTATAAGTCATAGTTTTTTGTTTTTGGACCACGCTAACATTCTACTTTTTTGGACTTGCCGTTTATTGATATGAGCTGTACCCTATAAGCCCAATTTTTCATTACAGTTGCCCTCCTTTGTGAGAGTGAAATACGAAAATAAACCAAATATATCTTGTTTCCTGTATATCAGTGCAAAAAACAACTGGGAGTCTGGGACGCATAAAATGAGATGGTGGGAGTAAGTTCTTATCATATAATGTTTTGTTTTTTGGGCTCACCTTGGCATGTTATAAGCTAGCATATAAATCTGTAATTACCTTTTTGGTAAGGAAGGTAAGAAGCTTTTCAAATAATATGTTTGAACTTATTTAATTATCTTCATTGAGTCGGTTTGTAAATAAGTTGTGCACAATATTCTATTTTGTAACCCGTTTATTTAAAAAAATAATTTTAACATTTCTCTTTATGATTTTTTACATAACTAACGTAAGCTTATTGCCTATATGATCACCAAACACTATGAATATCAACTAACTTATACTTATCAGTCTATAGCTGTCATATAAGCTCAAGTAGATTATCCTTTTCTGCCAAAAATAGCCTAATATGCGATTGTGATATATTTTGCCCCTTCTCCCTCAATTTGTTTTTGTGTTGGTTTTTTGCTGGTACTGTGCCTGAGAAGTGAAAAAAACATGTTTGTCAACAGTGTTGTAATCAAGATGAATAGTAAAGTTCACGAGAATTCGTGTTCGGTTATCTTACAGATCTAATTTTATATTCATATTCAATTCATTTCTTATCTTTGAATATATTCAACTTCCATTCAAAGTTTGAATTCAAAAAAATTGTAGTGTCAACTTTTACTAGAAATTCTAATATACTACATATTGTTTACATTTTCATTTTCACAGCATATATTTCATACAAATGTATATGTATCCAGAAGTTACTTAACCACAACTAATTAATTCAAATCTATTAACTAAGTAAATGTTTAAGTATAACTCACTATACGTGTACATAAGTTTTAACTCTTAAGCTTTAATCTATTAAATTTAATAATTAAAATACACAAATAAATTTCTGTTATGATATTAGACACAATTACAATACGAATATATTCGAGTACTAATCGAAATGAATATAATAGTTTTTGTATTCAAAAACCTCTTCGAATAATAAAATCATTTTATATTGAAATTCATATTCAAGTTGGTCTCTCTTGTTTTGTCATGGGATTGCCAATCCTAGAAATGGTTATACTTTAAACTCCATCTCCCGAAAATTTTGCTGTTTAAGCAAAATAAATATTTGGTTCTTTTAAAGGCACCAATGCATGCAAGAATTGTTACAAGGATATGGAATGCACTTATGCACATAGCTTTGAAATCCTACATGTGTGAGAGTGTCCTCTAAGCTGCTTTTTATGGTTCCTTTTTTTCTTTTCAATTGGCATATCCTTATAGGTGCTTCATTTGAACATTTACATGAATGCTAAAAAAGTTTATACCTTCTCAATGAATAGGCCTTAGATTTTTGTCATTCTCAAGGCATCATGCACCGCGATGTGAAGCCTCATAATGTCCTTATTGATCATGAGAAGAGGAAACTTTGGCTAATAGATTGGGGACTCGCAGAGTTTTATCACCCCGGGGAGGAATTTAATGTTCGTGTGGCTTCTAGGTTTGCTCTCTTTTGTCCTGGTCTGCGTACCTCATTTGTCTGGTTGGCTGCTATCAACCATATACTTTACAAAAACTGTGTTATGCATCGTAACCTTGTGCTGGTGGGGGGTTTGGGTTATGATCTATTAAAATCAGCTAGAATTTTACAACTTGAATACTGAACGCCCTTGATACATAATTATATGCTTAGGCTTTTTTCTTCCATTTCAATGTCTTTACTTTTGAGAAATGATAACCTGAAACAAACATTAGATACTACTGTCAGTTGTATGCCATGTCATCGGTGTTCCCTAACATGGATCATTCACTATTTTGAGAACATCCCTGCATCTTCATACAGTCATACCTTTATTTTTCCATTTTATTCATAAATTTAAACAATTTATTAGAGTTTAAGCAAGGAGAGAAGATGGAAATGAAAACATCTTATTGAGAATGGTTAGTTACAGAGTATTTATACAAGTGAGTTTCTCAACAAACTAACAACTAACAATATAGAAGCCTTAACAGTCTATAACTACCATACAACTTATAGAGAAATGCACGTGTAGTGCTATACACTACTCCTAACATCCCCCCAAACTGGGGGTGATTGATTTGGAAAGTCAATCACTCTGAGTTGTTCCTAAACTCAAGAAAGGTAGAAGCATACAAAGGCTTGGTCAGCACATCTGCAACTTGTTGAGGAGCTGGAATGTGGAAAACTTCAAGTTGCTTAAGTCTAACTTGCTCTCGAACAAAAAAGAGATCAATTTCCAAGTGCTTGATCCGAGAGTGCAGATCAGGATTGTGAGCAAGCTGTACTGTGCTAAGATTATCACTGGGAGTGATGAAAGGAGCGTCAAGTTCTCTGAGTAGGTATTGAACCCATAAAATCTCAGATGTAGTGTCAGCAAGGCTTCTATATTCAGCTTCTGCTGAAGATCTGGCAACCCTCAGTTGTTTCTTAGACCACCAAGAGATGATATTGGGGCCTAGAAAGATGCATGATTCAGATGTTGATTTCCTGTCTGTGGGATCAGATGCCCCGTCAGCATCACAGAAAGCTGATACTGGTAGAGGCATAGTGGATAGAGGTAGAGGTTTGATGATTAGACCATGAGTAATAGTGCCAGATAGATATCTCAAAATGTGCTTTACAACCTTCCAATGTTCTTGTAGAGGTGCAGCCATAGACTGACAAACTTTGTTCACAGAATAGCTGAGTGCAGGCCTGGTTAAAGTAGCATATCGTAGAAGAACTCCCATAACAGACCTGTAATAAGAGGGGTCAGGAAGGTAATCATTTCCTTCACTGGTGAGTTTACAGCAGCCCTTCATGGGTGTTTTCACCCCTTTGGAATCTGACATCCCAACCTTGTGTAGAAGAATTTTGAAGAATTTTGAGATCCAGCTTCATTATTGTGAGAAGAGTCTTCAAGATGAGCAAAGTTGGCAGAAAATAATGTTTGTTGTGAAGTGTCACGAAGTTTTCTTTTTCGCAATTCTTTGGCCAACAGAAGGCCTTCAAGTTCCGAGAGAGAGATTGGATCCAAGATGCTACGAGAGGTAACAGACTCATAGTCTTCTGGAAGACCTTCAAGGATTACATTAATGTGATCCTTGGTGGAGATTGGTTCGCCGATGGACATTAGGTTATCAACTATGGTCTGAATACGAAGCAGATAGTCGGAGATAGAGCCATCACCCTTACCGGTATTGTATAGCTCAGATTTCAGCGTGACTATGTTTGATCGAAAGAATTTCTGAATTTCACTCCAAAGTTGATGCGAATGTTTACAACTGATTACGTGAGCATGAAGTGACTCGGAAAGGGACGCCAAAAGCCAGGAGAACAACATTTGATCTTGTTGCTCCATTGATCGTAGGCTTCATTGATCGTTTTTGTTCTTCCATTGTCGCCAACAACCAATTGTTTTGGTATTTGAGGATTTTCAATAAATTTGTAAGGTTTATGTGCTCGGATCACAGATTCAACATGATGTCTCCAGAACAAAAAGTTAATGTATAACTGATTTTAGCTAAGATTAATGGACTGTAGTTGAGGTGATAATGGTGTCACTGATGTGCTATGCCTTGTTGTGAAACTATAGGTGGCTATTTTTTCCCACCAAAATTTATAAGTAAGAGGCCAAACGGCCAAAAAGCATAATGAATGGGACCTACAAAGTTTACCTATTAATGGATAAACTTTGTGCCTATTTGAACATTTATTATTGTAGATTTCCAGATACTCGAGAAACAACATCAAAGGCTCAGTCTCGAAAGAGTTTGGGGTCGGCTAACATGAATCGGCATATGAATTCGAAGTTAAAAGAGGATACAAAGAGATCAATCCTTCACCCGAATATTCTCCCTTCACTTCGCTCTCTCCAAAGTCAAAATCATAATTTACATATACTGGAATTGGCATAAAATATAATCAGTTCTACTCTGGTCTCTAGAATAGCCATTCGGTGTGCAGTCGAATGCTTCTCCGAGAAGAGTCCAAAGTGGTGCTCACGGGACCACTTTTTCAAGGTGTCTTCATTTCAATGTTACTGTCAAGTAGTTGTGAATTGGTAGTTGAGGCTAAACCTCCACTCTCGACTCTCAAGCTAACTTTTTGCCATGGAGTAGCGGCGACCTTGGTTCAAGTGTTGGGTACTTTTCGGTTACTATGTTAGGAGCGGATCTAGAACTAAAGGTCACTGTGCGCCAAAATTTTAAAGGGAAAAGTAGTCACGCTCGTTAAATAATTCTCACTATTATTCTTCATCGATCTCAAAGTTATCGCTAATTTCCTTTTAAGAAAGAAATTATGTAGTACACATTGTTTTTTTCCTTCTCTAAATGAATCTCAACCAAACATTTTATTTAATTTCTATGCCAAATCATAGTGGGCCTAATAATGTGGTAATCTCCATTTTACCTCTTCATTTCCTCTTCTCTCTCTCCAGTTTTCTTTTTTCCTACGCACTTTAATACGTCACCCCTTTGTTTTCTCTCACTCTCATACTGGCTTCTCCGGTACTGGAAAGGAGTGGCGCTCCATAATAACTAAAAAATCAGCCGCTACGGTTGACCTCATAAAACAACAACTAAGGATGTAACAATAACTTTACCAATGACATCTTGCTCACGTAGGTGAGAGAGATGTATTAGGATTTAGGAACGTTGTGAACCAAACGTCACAGGTTCAAGTCCCCCAAGGGATCGAAGGGGGCTTTTGCAAGCGATCAGTTGGGAGCACCACCTTGTAAACCTAATTGAAGATATTAGGAACTTTTGAATCAAAATGCACATCTCGCTATTTAATTGGAAGTATTTGTGAGGGGCCGGATCGAGCTGAAACTGAGTCTTGAGGAATATTCAGGCCTCATCCTAAAACATCTCAATTAAAAGAAGATATAACATTATCATCTATTTCTCTCTCCCTGAAAACTAGAAGTATTCCTTCAAGCGTAAAAAATGGTTAACTAAACCCTAATCTCTCACCCTAATTTTCCTAAAAAATCAGTGTGATCCTTTGCCTTCCCTTGCCTCTACATAGATCCTCACTTGACTATATTCTGAACTCTTATGCTCGTTGGACGGATTTGCTAATTCTAGCAACTCTAATTCTCATTTATCTTGCAGCATTGACCCAGTAGGTAAGTTATTTTTTTTTTATTTTTAATATCATGGCTGCCGGATGAACACTTCTTTTCATTTCATGGTTCAGATATTTTAAAGGCCCTGAACTTCTTGTTGATCTACAAGATTATGATTACTCGTTGGACATGTGGAGCCTTGGCTGCATGTTTGCAGGAATGGTAAGGAACATTCAGGGCATGTCATAGTAGTATACTTAGGGAAATTGCCCTAAATAGGAGTAAAAATGTTTGTGTATTCTAAAATAGGACTTCCAAGTGTTTATTTCCTAAATAGAAGTAATTACTGCCATGTTTTGGTAGTACCAAACGTTAAACATAACAGTATTTTCCAAAACTGTCAGTAATTGCTCCTATTTAGAGAATAAAAACATGACAATCATATTTTGTATTTTTCAAACGTTTTTACTCCTATTTTGGAAAATTTCATAGTACTTATAGTTTAACACAAATGCCTTGGAGTAGTGTCATCCTGAATGTAGAGTATGACCTGGATATTTTTAATGTCTGTGTTATAGATATTCCGAAAAGAGCCATTCTTTCATGGACAAGACAATTATGACCAACTTGTGAAGATTGCTAAGGTATATAAAAAGTAGTTCTTTTTTATCGATGTACAACATTTTTAATTTTGACAAGATTCAACTCTCGAATCATGGGATCCTATTACATTTTTCATGATTTAAAACTAAGTTTCATCGTATTGAGTTTCGTCCCTTAATAACTTTTGAAACCTGAATTTCATGGGGGGAGGAGCAAAAGGAGTACCTATTTTCCTTATCTATAAAGGACTGTTGAGCCAATTTTGAAGGGACCTTTGATAGAGACCTGGACTTATGGGCTTTATATTTTAATATAATGTAATAGTGGGCTGGGTCAAGTAATTAGATAGATTGAGGGAAGCCTCATTGGAAAAGAATAAATAGAAGGAAGAGAAGAAAAGGGGAGGGCAGGCAGACTTTGGACTGGAAATAGACTTGGGGTAGGAGACTGCTCTAGGTGTCTCAAACTGTATTTTCCTTTTTTTTTCATTGATCGTTCTCTAATATACATCAAAGTTACCGATTGAATCTGAGGGTTCTAACATTGGTATCTGAGCAGTCGGCCCTGGGAAGCTTCAATCGACATTCACGCAACAAAAAAATGGAGCAGCGCAGGGAACATTGACGGTCAGAACAGAAGGTGACTGCCTCTGGTTTGCGCGCAAACCTGGAGAATAGCACCCGAAGTGTCGAAGGCCATGTTACGAAGATGGAAACGATGCTGGACGAGATGATAAATCATCTGCGTAAACAGCGTTGCCGGAGAACTAGAGACCGAGCGAGGAGCCCTCCTAGATGCTGTCGGCCAACTGAAAATCAGGTTTCATCGTCTGCAATCGCGAGTGGCTTCGCTTACTTCGCAGGCATCGTTGTGTGCACAGGTTTCTTCTCAGTCGCGTGCGCAGGTTCCGTTCAGTTTTTTGGCTTTATCTCGAACTCCATCTCACACTTCGAAATTCCGAAGTTCATCTCCCAGTTCACAGGCGCGAATAGTTTATCCTTGTTCGCAGAATTCAATGCAAATCCTTTTTCAAGGTAAGCCATCTTCGTCGCAAGCAAAATACTCTTCTTCGAAGGTGGCATCGCTAGCGGTTTATCCCAGTTCACAGTCGCAGCGAGCAGTGTTTACCAGTTTGCAAGCATTGTCGTTCTCAGCTTTACCAGTGTGGCAGCATCACCTCAAACAGATCTACCTTGTCCGCATGACTCGTCGCAAGTCAATTCTCACCCTGTGCAAGTTTCATAGAAGACACTGAACTCCATCGATTCTCACCCTGCGCAAGCCATAGACCACGTGGAATCAGGAAGTGAACCGCTGGAGACTCCATTACCGACAATAAACATTGAGTTTAAGCCAGCTGAACCATCAACCAATGAACTGGAGCACGACAAGGATACTACTGAACCTACGGAATGTCCACCAGATATTCAGAATGATTCGAACACGCAGGTGATGGAAGACAATGGAATGCGTCCAGGTAATGTAGATCCAGCTCAAGTGGAGCCTCCCGTTTTGGCAAGGCAATTGATAAAGGATAATTCACAGACTAGTTCATTCGAAGGATCAGTTTTCACTAATTCAGATGCCATGCCTGTGAGGGAAGAAAAGAGGAAGGTGATAACTGTTGATAGTTTTTGTGCCAGTGGGAATTTTGCAATTGGTGTGAAAGTGAATTGTCCTCTGGGACCTATGTCAGGATTTGAAATGGTAAAGCTTAGGAAGGAGTTTGAGGTGGGGTCTGAATTAGGCTTAAGGTGTGCTGGGTTGCAAGTCCAAAAGGAGTGGAGTTACCAATAAGAAAGCTACTCTTGTTGAATCTAAACATGGAATCCTCAGTTCATACACGGATGCTACTGATGAATGTAATTGGGAGTCCTTCCAGGCAGCTGTGATTCAAAGGGTTCAACAAGAGCTGGTTGGTTGGGAAGTATCCTTACAATTCACTTCTAACTTCTAAGAACTCTCTGACTGAACCTTATAATGCACACACTATTCTGACTGTTAATTGTGGTGAATCTACTATCATCTTTGGAAAAAACACACTGATCAGTGATGCTGACTGAGCAATTACGAAGGATTATGCTACTGGTGAAGAGAATGGAAACTTACAGAGGCACAGCTACTGGTTGCTTGAAGAGGAGTAGTCAAACAATGTTCTAGTGCACTCCA